GTAATAAGCTCACCTCTGTCCATGACCTTTTTGTCACCCGCTCCCTTAACCTACTAGCAATTACAGAAACCTGGCTCCAAGCAGCAGATTCTGCTTCCCCCGCAGCACTTTCCTATGGAGGCCTTCTCTGGACCCACTCATCCAGACCCAGTGGTCGGAAAGGAGGTGGGGTTGGTTTGCTTCTATCCCTTCTGAGCATCTTTCAAGTCCTCCCTAACCCTCCCTCTCTATCCTCTTCTTTTGAGACTCACTGCATCCGGCTTTTTTTCCCATTTCTCTGAGGATTGCAGTGATCTATCGGCCTCCTGGACCGGTATCCCGCTTTCTTGATGTTTTCTCCGCCTGGCTACCCTACTTTCTCTCTTCTGAACTACCCACTATCATTCTTGGATATTTTAACATCCCTATTAATGTCAACAACCCGGCTACATCCCAACTCTTCAACATAACTTCATCTTTTGTCTTAACACAATGGACACAGTCCTCCACTCACTCTGATGGGAATACATTAGACCTTGGTTTCTCCCATCGTTGCACTCCCTACAACCTCACAAACACCCCCTTTCCTCTCTCTGATCACAATCTCATCACCTTCACAGTGTCCTCATCTTCAAACACCTATCCCTCCAAGCAGCAAACAATTACCTGCAGAAACCTTCACAACTTGAACCCTGCAACTGACCACCTCTATGACAGAATCTCTCCCTTGCCCTGCCCTGACCTGGCCACTGCTGTCTACAAGTTTGCTTTCATCCACACTAGACTCACTTGCTCTTCTAACAACACGAAGCATCAGGCCCCAACCATTACAACCTTGGCAGACTGATGACACCAGAAATCTTAAACAACATAGTTGTGCGCTGGAGTGATTGTGACGTAAAACCAAATCTCACCAAGATTTCACGCTATATAAATCTGCTTTCTTAACATACAATTCCTCTCTCCATGCTGCCAAACAAGCCTACTTTGTCACTTTCATCAATAGCTTGTCATCCAGTCCTTGTCTCTTCTCCACTTTTAACTCTCTACTTTCTCCACCTCCACTCAGCACCTCACTCACTGCTTACGAGATTGCAAATCATTTCAAACACAAGATTGCTGCAATTCATAGGGGCATCTCCACTGCACAGACATCCATCCCACTTAGCATACCTTATACTAAACCTCCCTCAACACTTTCCTCTTTTGACCTTGCTACTAGTGAAGAGGTCACTAAGATTTTCTCAGAAGCCCATCTCACTACCTGCCCCCTCACAACTACTACGGTCACCCTCTTCTGTCCTTTGCTCCCTCACTCTCATCTTCAATCTCTCCCTCTCCAACGGTGCCTTCCCCACCCCTCTAAAGCATGCGCACATCACTCCCATACTTAAAAAGCCCTCCCTGGACCCCAACAACATGAACAACTTAAGACCCATCTCCCTGCAGCCATTTAGCTCTAAACTCCTAGAACGCTTAGTCTACAATCGCCTGAGCTCCCACCTCACCGACAAGAACCTTCTTGACCCTTTACAGTCTGGCTTTCGCTCACTACACTGCACTGAAACTGCCCTACTAAAAACACACTAATGATCTACTAATTGCTAAAACCAATGGCCACTAGTCCGTACTCCTACTACTTGACCTCTCTGCGGCTTTTGATACTGTTGACCATCCCCTCCTCCTCCTCAAAAAACTCCACTCTCTTGGCCTCCGAGACTCTGCTCTCTCCTCCTACCTATCGCAGCGCACCTTCAGCGTTACCTATAACTCTGGCTCCTTCTCTCCACTCCCTCTTTCTGTATGGGTCCCTCAAGGTTCTGTCCTTGGACCCCTACTCTTCTCCATCTACACCTCCTCCCTTGGTCACTTGATAAACTCCCACGGCTTTAAGTACCATCTCTATGCGGATGACACACAAATCTATTTTTCTACCCCTCACCCCTTCAGTCTCCTTTCGCATTACTAACCTACTAAGCGACATATTGGCATGGATGTCACTGCACTTCCTCAAACTCACTCTTTCCAAAACTGAGCTCTTCGTATTCCCTCCCGCCAGTGCCCCCTCCCCTGACTTCTCCATCAAGATCAATAACACAACCATCAGTTCCTCCCCTCATGCCAGGGTACTAGGTGTAATCCAAGACTCCCACCTGTCCTTTCAGCCACAAATCCAATCGCTGTCCAAATCTTGTAGATTTCACCTCCGCAACATCTCCAAGATACGACCGTTATTAACCTCGTAAACTACTAAGCAACTTATTCACTCCCTTGTTATGTCTCGCCTTGACTATTGTAACTCCCTCCTCATTGGCCTACCTCATCGCAGGCTATCCCCTCTTCACTCTATCATGAAAGCTGCTGCCAGACTCATCCACCTTACTAACCGTTCTGTATCTGCCATCCCTCTCTGCCAATCCCTCCACTGGCTTCCCATTGCCCAATGGATAAAATTCAAAACATTAACAACATATAAAACCATTTATAACTCTGCCCCAAATTACATCACCAATCTTGTCTCTAAATATCACCCAAACCGTACTCTCCGCTCCTCGCACGAACTCCAGCTCTCTAGCTCCCTTGTCTCCTCCTCCCATGCTCGTCTCCAGAGCTTCCCCCATCCTCTGGAACTCTCTACCCCAATTTATCAGACTATCGCCTACTCTGCTCACTTTTAGGCGATCTCTGAAAACCTATCTCTTCAGGGAAGTCTATCCTGCCCTCAGCTAATAATGGAATCTTCTACTCCTGTACCAGACTACCAGTCCATCCCCCACAGTTGTTACCTTTTGTACCACTAGCCCCTCCCTCTTAGATTGTAAACTCCAAGGAGCAGGGCCCTCCTAACCCTCTTGTATTGAACTGTATTGTTGCTGTATTTGTTCCTGTTATATTGTAAAGCGCTGAGCAAACTGTTGGCGCTATATAAATCCTGTATAATAATATCTCCGCACACAGGAGAAAGAGCAATACTTTTAGCACAAGACCTCCTCTGTAACACTAAAGTGATGACCTATAGGGGCTTTTGAAGCATCGCCTATAGAAAATATAGGGTACTGCAGTTTGTCGACATTTCATAGGCACACACAAATGGAAGGCTTGGCATGTTGGGTATCTATTTACTCAGCGCAACCTCACCTTTTATATTTTACCAAACATTTGGGTTATTTATTGCATTTGTTTGCCCTAAAATTCACTTTAGTGCATTTTTTTCACTGAAGGTTTGTGTTTCCTAGACCTCTGCGGGTAATATCCGGTGACATAAAATGGATATACCACTATTTTATTCTCTAGGGTGTCTGCTTTCAGAAAATATACCATTTTTGGTGAGTTTGTGTAATCTTCAGGCCTAAAATAATTTTTTAAATGTGTGGAAAAAAAAATAAAAAAAGGAAAAATCACTGGCAGCGAAAGGGTTAAAAAACCCAATAGCGCACCGCAAGTGTTGGCACTGAATGTGGTTGTGGGGCACCTCCATTCAGTTGAATGGGCTGCATTTAGAGGCAGTACTGGCAGCAGAATGTAAAACTGTGCAAAGTACCACTGCTGTGGCATGTGTGGGGGAGCATTTAGAGGTGATTGGTTAAAAAAAAAAAAAAGTTCAAACGTGTCGGAATTAGTGAGTTTTCCTGAAGATCTCTATCCACAATTCATTAATAAACAGACCATGGCACTGCGTGATTAAATATAATAATTATTAAGACATTCAGCTATGTCTGTCAGTCTACATCCAAACGTACCACAAATTAAAAAAAAAAAAAAAAAAAAAAAAAAAAAAAGAAGAAAAAAAGGAGCAAATTAAACCATTACCTTGAAATGTCACATCTTCCATCAGAATGATTAAACTTTCAACTTTTTTCCCTTTACGGCCAAATGTGCACAAAGTATAAATTAATGATTTTTTCACATTTTTTTTATTTTATATCAAAATTCACATAAAAAATTGCCTTTTTTATTTTTTTTCATCCACCTAAAGCCATGTCAATTTAAAAATTCAACACAACGTTCTTTTGAGGGCAAAAATAAAAAAAATATACACATCAAAGTGTCTACTAAAAGCCTTGGTATGGCATTTGCGGAATTTGATCATACACAAGAAATATGTACTCATTTTCAAAAAGTGCAAATATTGCCATTAACACTGTAGGTTTTTTTTTTTTCTTTTATATTTTAGAGCGCAGTAATGAGGTTCTACAGCAGCCCCTTCTGTGCAGTGAAGTTCATCCCACAACAAGTGATCACTTGAACTCCAAATATACTTCATATAAGGGCTGATCAGAACATCGACACAATAACACAGCAAGAAACAGAAAGAAAAGGAGAGTAGAAAAGAAAAAAAAAAAAAGTAGGATTCATCAAATTTGGAGGTCAATGATGCCCCGCCCCCTTTCATTCCCAAACTGTGTGTACTTCGAGTGCAAGCAAGTGAGCATGCAAGCGTGCAGCATCGTCTCCAAATAATCACACAGCTGGAATAAACATTACTCCCCATGCTTGAATCAATCCTGGAAAATATGTTTATGCTAGGGTTAGACAAATCCAACGTAACAGGGCCTTCTTTTTTTTTTTTAGACTTTTCTATTGTTGTCAGCTGACCCTTAGATACGACTGGTTTTTGACTTCTACATTACTTAGTCCATGGCTGGTCTGTGTAAACAAATATGATATCAAATCCCAGGAGGCCGAAAAATAAATTTGAAAACCCCTAGCAGAATATTACCCACTGAGAAAAGAAACAAAAATTAAACCAAAAAGGAAAAAAAAAATTACAAGAGCACCCAGCAAATTAGAAGTAATCTGTATCCATCGGCAGTGGCTAAAAAGAATGGTTTTGTTATGCTTTAACTTCGGCACTGAAACATAAGAAAAAAAAAAAAAAAAAAAACATGGGAAAATCTTGCATACACTTTAATCAGTGTCAGTGCTAAAGTTCTCTGTTCAGGAGTTGCAGAATGCTGCATGTGGTAAGGATGGGGTTTGGCTTCATAATGAAATAGTTCAAGCAGGCAAAATATGGAGGATCAGATTCCTTTAAAGGGGCATTGCTCCTCTTGTAAGTCCCCAACCTGCATTTGGCTTGCCACTTCCTCAAGGAACTCGCTGCTATCTAGTTCTTCAGAATTTGTGCACAGAGGATCCCCTGTGTGTTCTGATTTGGTCCCTGGAGAGTCCACTGGCTGTATGTCTTTTGCAGGCTCTGGTTCCTCTGTGTCATGCTTTGGTTCATTATTTGGGGGAGATGCCACTTCTCTTGCCCCAGGCAGTCCATCTGGTTGTGGGTTAACGTTGTTGGCATGAGAAGGAGGAATGGTAGACGTGCCAGGATCACCTATGGCCTGCTGAGACAAGGACTTTAACTGGCAATGACATAATGGACAGGATTCTTGTACATACAGCCATTTTTTAAGGCATCCAGCATGGAAAAAATGGCTGCAAGGAGTAATGACTGCCGAATTCATGTCCTACACAAGCAAAAAGAAAATCATTTAAATGGAATTCACATGAAAAAAAAGTGTTTTTTTAAACCTATTTGGATAAGTTATACGTGAACTAGTGCATTGTGTCTCATTGTAAATAAACAGAACTATACAGTATGTTCCCTATTGTACTTCTTCTTGACCACTTGCCCTCCTGAGGATTTACATTTTTTGTGTTACGGCGCGGCGTTACTTTAACTGTCAATTGAGCAGTCATGCAATGCTGCAGCCAAGTGAAATTTATGTCTTTTTTTTCCCCCACGAATTGAGCTTTCTTTCGGTGATATTTGATAGCATGTGCGGTTTTTATTTTTTGCGTTATAAACAAACAAAAAAAGACCGACAATTTTGAGAAAAAAAAACAACAATATTTTTTACTTTTTGCTATTAAACCTGTCCAGTAAAAAATTTAAAAAAAAATCCAATTTCACCATAAATTATATAAAAGCAACTGTTCAGTATCTTAATAAAGCCATCCTGCGCCCAAAAATTAGGCTACGCCAAGGATCCCCTTTTCTCCCACCAAGATGTATACTTACCTCCTCCAATGGCAGTAGCCTCCTGCACTGTCTACAACCCAGCCAGTAAAAATGTAGTTCTGGGCTGCCCATGCACTAACGCCCCTTAGACTTTACACTTCATGATTCAAGTCTAGGAGATGTTGGCACACAGGCCTGGCCAGTTTGGTACTAGACTCTTACGATTTGGCCTGTATACAGCATGAGAGGCAAGTACACACCTCTTGGAGGAATCATCAGCTTAGCCTAGGCAAAGGGGCTGGGGGAGAATGTTTCATTACAATAGCCTTCTGTGAATGAATGGACCACAAGTCCCGACAACCTTATCAGCTCTCAGCTTGTAGTCCTCAATGAACTAGCATGGTGCAGTTAGCGCTGTGGTAGTTCATTGATTCTTCCTGTCAAAAGTATCGGCTTGCCGGTACAGGATGAACGAGCAAGCAGATACATTGACAGTCTGCAGGAGACCTGTATGGCACCAGCGATCTGCTGATCACTGGTGCAATGATTTAGAGGCTCCTAACACCAAAAATAATCAATGAACATTTTTTTTTACGCACAAAAAAAAAAAAAGTACATTTCTTATTTTTTGTGGAAAGGTGAACTTATCCTTAATCACTTGCCCTAAAGAGGATTTACCCCCCTTCCTGACCGGGCCATTTTTTGCATTACGGCACTGCGTTACTTTAGCTGACAATTGCGCGGTCATGCATCGCTGTACATAAATTAGTGTAATTTTTTCCCCACAAATAGAGCTTTCTTTTGGTGGTATTTGATCAACCCCAGGTGCTTCTATTTTTTTTTTGCACTTAAAAAAAAAAAAAAAAAAAAAAAAGACCGACAATTTTGATAAAAAAACAAACAATATTTTTGACTTTTTGCTAGAAAACATATCCAGTAAAAAAATGTTTTAAAATAAAATTTCTTCATGAATTTAGGCCAAAATGTATTGTGCTACATGTCTGCTACAAAAAAAAAAAAATCCCAATAAATGTAAATTAATTTGTTTATGTGAAAGTTATAGCATCTACAAATGGCGGTATATATTCTGGAATTTTTATTTATTTTGTACTAGTAATGGCGGAGATCAGCGATTTACTGCGGGACTGCGGCAGGCATTCTGACACTGGGTGGGAAGTAACTGCCACTGACATCCCCAGTGACCCTAATACAGTGATCAGTGTTAATAAAAAGCACAGTCACTGTACTGACTCTGGGCAGGAAGGGGTTAAGATCTGGGGTGATCAAAGGGTTAACAGTGTGCTGTGTGTGTTTTACTATGTGAACATGCTGCTTTGTATTGCTCTGCTCTGCAACTACAGGGTTCGAGTTCATTTATGTTACTGTTGTGCACACTCAGGAGAGGGCAGCCAGTGTGTCAAGCCAGAAGCAAAGCTAAAAAAGGGGACAAGTATAAATGTTTCAGAGGCAAGTCAGCTCAGTATCAAAAGACTGAATTTTCTGATCCCTGCAGAAGCCCCACTGTGACAGGTGATAACATGTACACATACAATCTCCGCACCTGGTAACATATGGAACAGATGTCGTTGTGTTGCTCCAGTTGTTCCTTTGTGGCAATGGGTAAGGATTTAATCTTATTCACAGCGTCCCTGCGAAGGAGGAAGCTCTTCCAGCCCAGCTGTGCCCGCAGCCAAACATTGTAGTACGAGTGTATGAAGATAATCATGGAACCCATCACTGTCCACTCGCCAAACACCGGTCTCAGAGACTCCATATGCCACTACACACAGTGCCACCAGGAACTCCAGCAGGCGGTATGTTCCATTAACATAGTAAATTACGTCATCCATGTTTTCTACGGGCTCTTTGCGGAACTCCTCAATCATGAATAAGACATAGATGAAGAGAGTGCCAAGGACCTGTTCAGGAAAGGAGGAAGTTTAAGTGTTGGTGCTTTACCCCACCAAAAAAAAAAAAAGTTTACTTCAGTAAAGTCTGTAAATGTACACTGTAATAAGCTGCACCTAAACGCTAACAACAATGTATGAATTTTAGTCAACATTTACCAAGCACTGACATAGAAACACCCATTTCTGCCAAACAGTGCTGAAAGAGCTGCTGGCAGTCACTCCCCTACACAGATCAAGACCTTAGTTCTTATGGCATCTACATTTAAACAAACCCCTGACTCCTGTAGCCACAGGCAATGCAGAATGATTTATCCTCAGTTTACAGCAGAAGCACTATCTCTTCCAGCAGCTCAGCTCATTCTGCTCCCCTTTTCCAGCAGTCTTCCAATCTCTAATGTAAACATAGGACAGGTGCTCTAGGAGAGAGGAAAGCAAGAGTTCCAAAACCAGACGTCGCTAATTTCTCTTGTGCATTTTGAGGAAGAATTGCTCCACATTACCTGTAGCTACAGAGGTCAGTGGTAACTTGTCTTAAAACTGTTTTACTGGTTTTTAAAGCCTAGGTGTAGCTAAAACAAAAAACAGAAAAACCACAACAAAACACACACCTAACTTACAGTCAAGAGTGCTGATTCTTAGTAGAAATCTTCCTCAGTCCATCCGTTCTCAAAACCCAGCATTTGTAATCATCTGGTGGGGCGGGGGTTAAAAACTGAAGAGCTGTCACAGGCTTTCATCAAGAAAATTCAACTGCCCCTTTCGCCCAGCTGCTCCATTCATAGAAGGCACTAACCTATCAACCACCTCTTCAATTCTTTCTTCAATTCATTCTTAAATCCTGTTTTATTCATAAAAGCTGTAGTAAGGCGTCTATGAATGGAGCAGTTGGGCAGAAAGGGCGGGCACTGTCAGGCTCTGTTTGCAAGGTTTGAGAGCCTGTGACAGCACATTCTGTTAACCTCTGCCACGCCAGATGATTGTATGGGTGTTGAGGAGGATTTCCACTAACAGAAGAGGAATCAGCATAGGGGAGGGATATCCTACTGACTGTAACTTATGTCCCTTGTGCTGATTTTTGTTTTTTTAGCTACACTTAAGCTTTAAATCATATGTAAATACTGGTTCACTTTATAAGCATTGTTGGATTTTAATTAATACACTCCTCCTGAGAGGTGTTACCTCTTCAGGAACAAGCTTCTGAATTAGAAAGTTAATCTCTCACACTGTGTGAGCTTTGACTTGTAATTGTAAAAAGACACGGAACCTGCGGGACAGGTGGGCAGAAGGTTTTCTTAGAATGATAGGCAGTAAATCTACTCAGCCTCTTAAATATTTTCACAGCTTCCTGATCTATCATGTGCAGAGTGTGTTCACATCTTGGTAAATTTGTGCAGTGAAAGGCTTACTCCCATTTTTACAGTGAAAAAAGATTAGTACACTTAAAAACTTGGGTATATTAAAGTTCATGTAAATGCCAAACTTTTTTTCTACCTCTAGGTAGAATGGGTAAGGGGTAGACCCTCTGTCAAGTTTTGATGCTGTCTTTGACCCCTGTTGGGATGATTACCCTCAAGGTAATGACTAAGGCCCCTGCCCAACATTAAGCTTGACTTAAAAAAAAAAAAAAAAAAAAAAAACCTTCACCCTATCCTGTACGTTGCTACTGTCGAACCACCCCCCAGGCCTTGGATAATACAAAAAAAGTTGGGCGAGGTAAATGCCTTTTCTCCAGGACTTTGTCCTGCACTTCCCACTTACTTGCCTAGGTGAATGTCATATATCCCAGGAGGCTCTAGGGCAATCTGCGCATGAGCTGGAACGATCTACCACACTCCGTATATGCTGCCATATGTAGCTGGTCCAGCTCAAAGAACCCAAAAGGAGATAGTGAACTTTCTGGTGACATCACACAAGAACGTGGGACTTGCAATACGGAGATGGAGTGCAGGCTTAAAGCAGACAGAACTGCCATTGTTGAACAGGTATGTTTTTTTCTGGAAAACCCAGCGATACAGGTAAAAGGGAACAAATAAATAAAATTATAAAGGGAGGGGTTTACGTTTTTTGTTAAGCCCTGAAGTACAAGCTGCCTGACTGAAAAAGACACTACAGCTGGTTCTATTGACAGTACCTGGAGAGAAGTGAGTATACTGCTGGATATGATGATCAGAAGCCAGAAATCCATGTGGAAGAACTGACAGATCATATAGGCCATATAAGAAGGGAAAACCAGGAGGAACAAACATAGGCTGACAGCCCGAAAATGCTTCCAAAGACTCCTATAGGAAAAAGTGAAAAAAAAAAAATATATATATATATAAAATTCAGTGCTTAGGTATACCTGGTGCCAAGAGAATGCATCAGACAACACTCACTTGTCTCGTGAAGCACCCAGAGCAAGGACAATGGGGTCAGCTATCTCCAGCATTGACTGCAATATTGAAGCCACCACAATGAACAGAATGATGCTGAGCAGAAAAGCGCGATGAACCACTTGTAACTCAATCAGCCCCGTCTGCACAGCAAGGATCAGCAATGTCACCCCTTCTGTCATTCCCCTGCAAAGGGAAGAAAGGCAGATATTTAATCATTTGTTCTTAACACCTGAGGCGGACCTTGAAAACAATTGTGCTATAACGAGAGGTGTCAAAAAGAAAACAATTTCCAAATCTGGCAAAGATCTACATAAGTTTAACAGTTAAATGATCAGATCTGTGGCTACAGACATCTAAAGAAACAAAACCCTATTTGGTAAGTTCAAAGAGCTTAGTCACAGTAACCAAGTGCACAGATTGGCTACATATCAAACTACAGACAACTTTCAGCTGAAACAAAATCCAGGTAATCACATTTTAGCATGAAAAAAAAAAAAACTGGCTTGACAAAAGTAGAATACGCGGCACAAATGAGCATAGTTTGTGGTGAAGATTAAAATCCGATTTACTCACACTTGGACGTTCAAAAAAAAAAAAAAAAAAAATCAAACTAAGGCTAAATATTCTCTCAACTCCATTCTAAGACTATTCCACCTAACCTGTAAAGAAAAACATGCTTATACTTACCTATCCTGAAGCTGCTCTGGTCCAGTCACATGATTGCTGACACCGGCTGCAAATGCCTGTGCAATGACATCACCCATAGGCTTACTATGAGCCATTCATTGTCGCCAGCCCCCGCACTGAAGATAGCACTGGTGCCTGACCTGATCATGTGACCAGACTGGAGTGACTTCAGAATAGTCTTAGAACAGGGGTGGGTGTAGATTTAGCCTTAGTTAGATTATGACTGAGCTTCCACTTTAATCAAGGGCAAAAAAAAAAAAAAAATAGATAGATTTTCAATTATTTAACTCTTTAAATGCCAAGGATATGTCCTACATGACGTGGCAGACAAAGGGTCAAAGCTCACAGCTTTCATTGCAGCTGTACACTTGATTTTAGGAATAATCAGCAGGCTCTGCTCTTTGCTGCAGAAGTGATAGGAGTAAAGCCACCCAATCATTTCTGCAAAGCTAAAAAGTTAATTTTCATACTGAAAAGCTGGTTTTCTCTTGCTTACTAAGGGCTTGACTTCACAGGAAGGCACTGCGCACCCATCATCCCCAATGTCCAGGAAAATTTTCCTTACTGGCCACTGAAATACTCACAGGTGGGTCTGCTTAATTCTAGTCAGGAATGTTACGCACTTAATAATAAAGAGAAACTGGTCTGTGAGAGCACATAGAGGAGGACTGCAAGTAAATAGAACAAAGACACTTGTGGTACTTTGGAGTTTATCCTTGCATCTACAATCTGACAGCTCAAATATTTTCTGTTTATCCAAAATATAAAAACGCTTGACAGCACCCTCACCTGTTCATAGCGGGATCATTCATGAAAGCGCGGTATCCCTGCAGATAGAACTTGCAGAGGGTCAGTACACCAAGAGCCACAAAGGACACAGTGAAGACCAAGCCCAGGAGAGAGTAGGGAGTGCTACAGCACTCTGCAATGCTGCAGAAAAAAAAAGAACAACAAATGACGACGAATAATAATTTTATATTTCACAATCAAATTTGCTTAATACTTATAATGAAAAAAAAAGATGAAGTAGCATGTGCCTGTTTTAGATACATTTTCTATTCTATAATGAAATTGTAATGACAAAAATATGGGAGCTGTCATTGCTGACCTATATTTATAATGGGAGGCTCTAGGCTTTCAAGAATTCACATGACAGTGTTACATAACAAAAGGGTAACAAATCTCAAACCCCAATTTGGGTAGAACAGCAACATATAACAAACGAATATAATGGTCACAAATTGTTACACCCCCAATGGGATAGCACATCTCGAGTTACCTGCTAGGCAATTTCCCATACATAAATGAAAAACACATTTTTTTAAACCCCCCCAAATCAAGGCCACCCAAACCCAACCATTCTGTATTTAGCGGAGTTAAACTAAAAGTTAAGTTTACCTTTAAGCATTTGGCATCGAGCAACTCGAAGAGCATGTGAACATTGCTTCAAAAATTGTTGTAGTCTTTTTACATTAAGCTGGTCACATAGTGCACAGACCACATAGAGAACTATACTGTTCACCAGCACTGAACCAGGACCCCCCCCCCCCCTTACAGCTTAATATTCATCATGATGATTGAGTGACAGGGAAATGCCAGATAAGAACATGTGTGATGTGGCCCCTGGGTGGTGGGCAAGCTTTCCAGGAAAAAAAAATAAAAAATGAAGGAAGATAACTCATGATGTGATCAATCAAGAGAAAAATATTCTGCTGACTGCTCTAGAAAACCAATAACTCTAAAATGATTTGTTTTTCTTCTTCCAGTTTATATATCTTATCTCTTGCTTAGGATCATTTTACTTTTTACTCAGTTAACCCTTTAACCTCAGGAACCCGAAAATGCATGTACAACTGCTTAGAAGGCATCTATTTTATTAGATTGTGCCATATTAAAGGCAGTTTAAAGCGAAACGTCACCCAATACAGGACGTTCTTCTTGTCTGCCACCTCCCCCCTCCTCTAAGTTTTGCCACTTTAGATTATTTTGGAGGGGGAGCAGTTACCTGGTTTTGAAGGTACCTGCTCCCACTTCTGGTCTTATCTCCATGGCGAAATTGCTGCCCCCCCACCCCCCGCAGCCTTCTGGGACACGACAAGTCCCAGAACACTGAGGGACCATTTGAAAAGCACAGTGCGGCTCGCATATGAGCACTGGAAAGCCGGCTGTGAAGCTGCAAGCTGTCACAGCCAGCATCCCAAAGTAAACATGTAGATACCAAGGACCCGAAGACCGGTGAAGAGTCGGCTCGGGTGAGGACTGCGGTGGTCTCCTGGACAGGCAAGTGTCCCATTATTAAAATTCAGCAGCTATAAATACTATTTTTTTTTTTTTTCTAGGGTGAAGCTTTAAGTTGTTCAGATAACAGTTGTCAATTGTATGGTTGCTAGGGTGCAGAGTGCACACGTGTCAACGATAAATGTAATATGTAAACACATATGCAATATCGCTGCACAAGCTAGCTAGGGCCAATATTTACAGTTCATTCTAAACGGATGAGCTAAGGCTCCACGCACACTAGCATTTTTTGTTAGCTAAAAAAATGCTAGGGAAAAAAAAAAAAGCATGTAGAAGTGTTTAGGAGCATTAGCATTTGTACAGTACAAAAAAGCAATAAAAAATGCTGTTAGGAGTGTTTTCTTCTGCCAGAAAAACACTCCCCAAAAAAAATTTTTTTCTGCTCCTAAACGCTGAAGCTTGAAAAACGCTACTAGCCTAAAATAGAGTGCATGGACACATAGGATAAAACGATTCAGCTTTTAGGATGCCAATAACAGCTTCTAGGAGCTTAGACAAAACAGTGTGCATGGAGTCTAAAGGCATATTTTATTTTCATTGTTTCGCGGGTGCAGAATTTTTTGGGCTAGACTTGTTTGGTAAGTATTTACTCGAAACAATCTCAACTTTTAAATTTTACCAAAAAATTGTGTTTGTGTGCACTAAAACTAAATTGAGTGCATTTCTTACTGAAAATATAGGCTTGATAAACTGTTCCACAAATATCGTGTGGCATAAATATTTCTAACTACTACCGTTTTTATACTATACATACACACATATACATACAGTCAGGTCCATAAATATTGGGACATCGACACAATTCTAACATTTTTGGCTCTATACACCACCACAATGGATTTGAAATGAAAGGAACAAGGTGTGCTTTAACTGCAGACTGTCAGCTTTAATTTGAAGGTATTTACATCCAAATCAGGTGAACGGTGTAGGAATTACAACAGTTCGCATATGTGCCTCCCACTTGTTAAGGGACCAAAAGTAATGGGACAATTGGCTTCTCAGCTGTTCCATGGCCAGGTGTGTGTTATTCCCTCATTATCCCAATTACAATGAGCAGATGAAAGGTCCAGAGTTCATTTCAAGTGTGCTATTTGTATTTGGAATCTGTTGCTGTCAACTCTCAAGTTGAGATCCAAAGAGCTGTCGCTATCAGTGAAGCAAGCCATCATTAGGCTGAAAAAACAAAACAAACCCATCAGATAGCAAAAACATTAGGCGTGGCCAAAACAACTGTTTGGAACATTCTTAAAAAGAAGGAACGCACCGGTGAGCTCAGCAACACCAAAAGACCCGGAAGACCACGGAAAACAACTGTGGTGGATGACTGAAGAATTCTTTCCCTGGTGAAGAAAACACCCTTCACAACAGTTGGCCAGATCAAGAACACTCTCCAGGAGGTAGGTGTATGTGTGTCAAAGTCAACAATCAAGAGAAGACTTCACTAGAGTGAATACAGAGGGTTCACCACAAGATGTAAACCATTGGTGAGCCTCAAAAACAGGAAGGCCAGATTAGAGTTTGCCAAACGACATCTAAAAAAGCCTTCACAGTTCTGGAACAACACCCTATGGACAGATGAGACCAACATCAACTTGTACCAGAGTGATGGGAAGAGAAGAGTATGGAGAAGGAAAGGAACTGCTCATGATCCTAAGCATACCACCTCATCAGTGAAGCATGGTGGTGGTAGTGTCATGGCGTGGGCATGTATGGCTGCCAATGGAACTGGTTCTCTTGTATTTATTGATGATGTGACTGCTGACAGAAGCAGCCGGATGAATTCTGGAGTGTTTCGGGCAATATTATCTGCTCATATTCAGCCAAGTGTTTCACAACTCATTGGACGCTGCTTCACAGTGCAGATGGACAATGACCCAAAGCAGACTGCAAAAGCAACCAATGAGTTTTTTAAGGGAAAGAAGTGGAATGTTATGCAATGGCCAAGTCAATCACCTGACCTGAATCCGATTGAGCATGCATTTCACTTGCTGAAGACAAAACTGAAGGGAAAATGCCCCAAGAACAAGCAGGAACTGAAGACAGTTGCAGTAGAGGCCTGGCAGAGCATCACCAGGGATGAAACCCAGCGTCTGGTGATGTCTATGCATTCCAGATTTCAGGCTGTAATTGACTGCAAAGGATTTGCAACCAAGTATTAAAAAGTGAAAGTTTGATTTATGATTATTATTATGTCCCATTACTTTTGGTCCCTAAACAAGTGGGAAGCACATATGCAAACTGTTGTAATTCCTACACCGTTCACCTGATTTGGATGTAAATACCCTCAAATTAAAGCTGACAGTCTGCAGTTAAAGCACATCTTGTTTGTTTCATTTCAAATGCATTGTGGTGGTGTATAGAGCCAAAAATGTTAGAATTGTGTCGATGTCCCAATATTTATGGACCTGACTGTATGTATATATATATATATATATATATATATATAGTGTGTATGTATGTATATATAAATAAATAATATACACACACATATATATATATATATATATATATATATATATACATATATATACACACACACACACCTCTCAAAAAAAAAAAAAAAAAAAAATGAAAGGAACACTCTGAAAATACATCAGATCTCAATGGGGAAAAATCTCATGCTGGATATCTATACTGATGTGGACAGGGTAATGTGTTAGGAACGTTAGGATACGCCATCGTTTGATGGAAATTAAAATGATCAACCTACAGAGGACTGAATTCAAAGACACCCCGAAAATCAAAGTGAAACAATGATGCAGCAGGCTAGTCCATTTTCCTGAAATTTAATTGCAGCAACTCAAAATGGTCCTCAGTAGTTTGTATGGCCTCCACGTGCTTGAATGGATGCCTGACAATGTCAGGGCATACTCCTAATAAGACGACGGATGATGTCCTGGGGGATTTCCTCCCAGATCTAGACCAGGGCATCGCTGAGCTGAGTGTGAGGTGCAACCTGGCGGCGTCAGATGGACCGAAACATTTATTTATTTCAGGTACTTATATAGTGCCATCAATTTACGCAGCGCTTTACATATATATTGTACATTCGCATCAGTCCCTAACCCTCAAGGGGTGTACAATCTAAGGTCCTTAACTTACATTCATACATACATGGGCCAATTTAAACAGGATCCAATCAACCTAACAGCATATCTTTGGAGTGAAACCGGAGTACCCGGAGGAAACCCACGCAGGCATAGGGAGAACATGCAAACTCCTGGCAGGTGGTGCCATGGTCGGGATTTGAACCAACGACCCTAATACTGCCAGGCAGAAGTGCTAACCATTTAGCCACTGTGCTGCCCATGATATCTATTGGATTTAGGTTAGGCGAGCATGGGGGCCATTCAATGGTATTAATTCCTTCATCCTCCAGGAACTGCCTGCATACTCTCGCCACATCAGGCCGGGCATTGTCGTGCACCAGGAGGAACCCAGGACTCACTGCGGCAGTGTAGGGTCTGACAATGGGTCCAAGGATTTCATGCCGATACCTAATGGCAGTCAGGGTGTCATTGTCTAGCCTGTAGAGGTCTGTGCATCCCTCCATGGATATGCCTCCCCAGACCATGACTGACCCACCACCAAAACGGTCATGCTGAATGTTACAGGTCCTGCTGAGGGGTTAAGGACCTTCTACGGCCCTGTTCAGCTCTCTTAGAGTAATTGCCTGTCTCCTGGAATCTCCTCCATGCTCTTGAGACTGTCCTGGGAGACACAGCAAACCTTCTGGCAATGACATGCATTGATGTGCCATCCTGGAGGAGTTGGACTGTCTGTGCAACCTCTGTAGGGTCCATGTATTGCCTCATGCTACCAGTAGTGACACTGACCCTAGCCAAATACAACACTAGTGTAAAACAGTTAGAAAAGATGAGTAGGGAAAAAAATGTCATTGGCCTCCACCTGTAAAACCATTCCTGTTTTGGGGGTCGTCTCATTGTTGCCCATCTAGTGCACCTGTTGTTAATTTCATTAACACCAAAGCAGCTGAAACCGATTAACAACCTCCTCTGCTACTAAAAATTTTTTTTATGGGTGGGGGGTGGGAGATGGGGGCCAGAAATGCACATTTTAATGTGTGCAAAAAAAAAAAATTATCCAGCCGTAAAAAGTTTAACTTCCATTATAGCTTCCACTTTCAATGCCTAAGTAAGAGAGATGTCAGGCAGAAACAGATACACAATTGAAAAATGAGCTGTGAAATCCTGGCACCCTTTCCAGGTGGTACAGCCAGGTGCAGAACTTCTCTGCAGACTATAAAGCATTTATTGAATACAGTGTAATCCAGGACTGGCCTCATCCTGTGACCGGGCAATGAAGGAGAAGAAAGCATGTCGATATTCCCCTGCACTTCATTACTTTACAATGGTTCGTTGCTTTATACTGATGACATTGTTAGAGCTCTGACTGGCTCACTAGTGCCCCCCCCCCCCCCCCATCACAGTCTAATGGGCCCTATGAGGATTAAAGTGGAACTCCAGGACAACTGTGATTACACTCCCTGTGCCTGAAGTTGATTCAGGGATGCCCACAAATCTGCCTGTGTTTGAGGAGAAGCTGACAGATTGGAGGTTAGGAATTGAGAAGGGGGCAGAGATTTCATTTTACACATATGCACAGTGTCATCCTAAAGACCTTATGAAGTACATTATCTATGGAATGAACGTATGGCAGGACCAGCAAGAGCAAAGGTTTGCCTTCAGTACCATTTCTAAGAGTCTACTGACAAAATCCTTAAGCCTAGGTTCACACTTGAGCAGAACACCGCATGTAATTCGGACTTCCTATTCAAATCACATTTGGTTCTTTGCAGTGCGCTTTTACCGTATTGATTTTGGATGGGCTCAAATCACATCGCACCCGCAGGAAAAAAGTGTAGGCATCTTTTTTTTTGCCAAACAGGAATCCGATCACACCGAGCAGATTGCATGAACGTGATGAGATTTCAATGCGGTGTAGTAAACACACAGGATTTGCTGTGTTTCCCACACTGCATATATGTGAACCGAGGATAAAGGTGGAAACATTCTCAAAAGGAACAGTGAGACGTTTCTTGAAGTCTGGAAAGGCAGGATCCACTACTACTTCTGTGAAAACAATACAAGACTTTTGGTGAATGGACAAAGGGAGAGGAAGGGAAAGCGAACAACTCAATCCCCACACTATACTATAGGTGGAACTGTCAGTCTCACTGCTCAAAGCTCACAGCAAAACCCTGTAAAAAAAGAACTGGAATTTCTAGCATTCCCAGCAGCCATCCAAAGCTATCATAACAAGCATTACAGGTAACTCATCTGGACCCAACAAAAGTATTAAAAAGAAGAATACAGTTTTTTTTCTTACTGGAATTCCATTTTAAAACCGATTTAGATATCTACATGGATTACAATACAAATATAAAAGCAAACTGTCCCCTGGATGGAGCAGTTCTATCAATTTGCTTTCTATGCAGGTGAGAAAAGCAGGCTAGCACTCACTGATGATGGGAAATATAGTGTGATATAGGAAATGCTCATATGTTCTTTTAAATTAAGCAAATGTAACAGCACTCAGATGAACAACCAAATCTTGTAAAAAAAACATGTAACTGAAGTATTAAATGGCCATCTCTCATCTATTCACATAGACACTTCATTTCCACACTATCTCTGGAATGTGATAAGCTTCCCAAGCCAATGAATATTAAAATGCTGGGTAACATGCCAGGTTGGTATTTCAGGTGTACGCCTGACAGGTCACCCGTGTTATCTGCTTTGCATCGGACGCACCCTAGCAACCAATATACAAAACCGGTTATTAGCAATCATCTTGGGTGATGAATATGAGAGAATCACGAGTAACCTCAGCAATGATTAGGATTCCCAAACCCCTCACTGCCAGATGTTTATGGTGAAGGCAGAATGGAAAATGAAACCTTTTTCTGTAGAGAGTGCTGCTATTGATTTAATTAAAGTAAATGTAAATGCTATCTGGATGACATTTAGTTTGCTAAAGCACTATCTATCAAACAACTGCTATGTTTTTTATTCCTGTGACAACCCTGGAGTATAACAGCTGTGCCTGAAGAAGAAGTACCTTCATGGCAGGAATACCATTTTAAAATTTTTTTATAAAAAAGGTTGACGTGGTTATACCGAGATCATGGTTGAGACTACTACCATGATCCAGGTATTGTTTTGTTTTTTTTGTAGCTGGCGATTCTGGTTTATGTAAAAGTGATCCAGGCGGCTCTGGAGCCACTGAAACACTTTTACAGGTGACGAAAATAGGTCTCTCCTCCCCCCTCCCTTTACCTGGCTCTCCCGTCTAATCTGGGAGCATGGTAAAGATGTGCCCAATGGCATCTGCTTCCAGGGACACATTGAGAGGAACTGATGCTCTTTCTCCCACTGTGTGATGGTCAGAAACTAGAAGTGACGAGGATTTGTCAATTCCGGTTTTAGTATCATGTAAACAAGCCATTACCGGCTTGTGAAAGCATCTGATCAAACCAAGCTTGGTTTGATCAGATGATTTGAAGGCCAAAAAGGAGAGAACTGAGATCTTATAGTTATGTTAAGGCCCATGCTATCACAAAGGATGATGATGTTAATTCCTTGTAACAGCAATAAAGCTCAAAAAAAGTTGAAAATGTTGAAGAAAAATAAAAAAAAAATAAAGGTTAAAAAAAAAAAAAAAAAAAAGAAAAAATGTTAACATACAAACCCCCAAATTAAATAAAATAAAAAAAAAACAAAACACATTTTTGTAAAGCTCCCCATGCAACTGCATGACAGGTTACATATCCATTTACCAGGCATAACATCTTTTATATTTTATCAAACAATTGGGTAGTATACTGTTTTTTAAAGTGTATATTTTACAAAACGTGTGCTTGAAAGAACATTCACCATTTTATTCTCTAGGGCCTCAGCTTAAAAAAAATATAATGTTTATGGGTTCTAAGTAGTTTTCTAGCACAAAAAAAAAAAAAATACTGATTTTTACATGTAAGAGAGGAATGTCAGAAATGGCACAGACTGGAACTGGTTAATGAGAAGTCCAAGAACAGTTTAGGAAATTGTATTACCATGTTAAAGCCCAACTAAAGGAAACCTAAAAACCTTCTCATGCAATGTGGCTGTGCCCGCACTGCAAGGATTAACTGATCATTCATGACTATTGGGTGGAAAAGCAGTTTTACTTATCTGACATGTTATTCTCTCAGCAGACAGTGACTCTTCACATCCAATATACGGCTATAGTCCTTGCATCGGTTTCAATGATGTCAGAGGACCTTAGCCAACTGGAGCATAATGGAGGAGGCTGTAGGGACCATCTAGCAGTGCAAAAGAGCCTGAAGGACCAGGAATTGGGAAGTAAAACTTGCTTTACCAAGTACCCTAGACATAAATGATCAGTTAACCTTTGCAATGCAGGCACAAAGGAGGATGTTTACGTTTCATGGAGTTGAACTTTAAAAGTTTAAATAAGAATTCTGTGAGAGGGTTTACATATACTCCAAGTAAAGAGGTTTTTTTCAAGATGAATTCAAATTGCTGAAATCCCAAGGAGGCCTGCGCAGTTCTCTTGTGCTGGACTATAGGACACCTTCTGTTCTTTTCCAATACCATAAGGGGGATGTGCTCTGTAGTCTATAAAGGTGAACTCAGACAGGGCTGACAACAGTGCTAGGAATTTCAGTGCAGCAACGGCAGTGTTTTCAGCTCACATCAGGAAGGTAGGAGCTCACTGGATTTCTAGGAAATCAACCAATACATTTCTGTACTTGCAGGGGAAACAAAATGTTGGGAAATGTGCATGTATTACAGAAATATACTGATTATTTCAGTGAAAGTTTGGGACATTAAAAAGGTGTTGAGGGGATAAACATGTATTTTCTTTTCCCCTAAATAGTTTAATTTGTAGGTTTATTGAAACATACCTTGTAAGAAAGAGGAAGAGGAGTCTCTCGCGAGAGGTAGGCTGGTCCCGTGTGCTGAAGTATGTGTAGATCTGAAGAGCAAAGAGGACCAACCAGAAAACCATAAATAGAACTGGGACCACAAGCTGATTCCACAGTGACATGCCCAGAGCCAGAAGACCGTACACTTCTACCACCTGTAATGCAAAAAGAAAAGGCTCACAAACTGAATACATCCTTGATGACAAAGGATACATAACCCATTCTGATTGGCTCAAAAGTTTTAATGGGTTTTTCTTTTTAGCTGGAAGTACAGTTTATGCCAAGTGGTTTTATATATTTTGTTGGAGCAAATGAAGCTGTGAGACAATATAAATAGAATCTCTCACCGAGGTCTTTAAAGTGTACTTGTTCTGCCCTGTGTTGGCCTGCACCTTGAGTATTTTGTTTGTGTGTCTGTGTATCATGTACACATTTGCAATGTTCTAATATGACAGGGCTGCTCCCTGGAGAAATGAAAGAAAGAATGGGGAACAGCACTTCTAAGTGTAGCAGAATAAAACCACTTTAATAGGTAAAAATTAGGCAACTCGCAAAAGGTAGGAGAATTAGCGCTTCATAATCATAAGTCCGCTGTGCGGTCCCAGGTGGTCCCACTGGGTGTCTTTGTAGCTCTTGGTGGCAGCCCCACTGGTGGATCCCCTCTTCTCCAGAGTCCTCTGCCTCCACGAGCACTGTAGGAAGTGCTTGAATCCACCAGCGTGGCTGCCGGCTTGCTACCAGAAGCTGCAGAGACACACTGTGGGACCACCCAGGACTGCACAGTGGACTATGAAGTGCCAATTCTCCTACCTTTGCGAGTTTCTTACTTTTTAATTATTAAAGTGGTTTTATTCTGCTACACTTAGAAGCTCTATTCTCCTCTCTTCTTGCTGTCTACAGAGTTCCTTCTAGCTTATTTGAAACTGGCCAGCTTCAAGTGTTGATATCCTCTTGGACTCTTCATCTAGAGACTTTATACATGCCCGGCTGAACTTTTCTATGGATAGCCTTAGGTAACATATAGGATACTTTACTTCGTGTGCCAAGTATCTACCACCGAATGCTCCCTGGAGAAGCTACTGTCATTCATTTAGATTTTAGAATCTCTGACATGCACTTCTGCATGTGATAGGTGACTGAGAGAACAATGGGACAAAGCATGGACAGAAGAGGGGTATATGCACGCTATAGTGGCAGTTCTGCACAGACTAGATCCTCCTGCAGCTACTTACCACCTGAAACAAGAAAGCAGAAATAACTGGCAGGATCAGCAGTTAATTTATTCTTACTGAAACTTTATAGAACGAAGCAAAGGGCAGATAGATCACCGAATTTATGCTAATACTTTCTTTTTTGTTTGTAGACAATTTTACTAGCGACATAATGCATGTTAACGCACTGCAATGGATCGCTAAAATGTGGATCCAGCCTTATGGAAATACTGACTCTAGCTAGATGTCTGTGCTAAACCCTGCTTTTGGCCACTACCTGCAATGGGCAGCCACAACGACCAACAGTGTCGTGCAGCAGGGAAAGAACCACAGTGCCACATTACTCTCAGACATTGAGATTTACATAATAAACCCACCCAGGTTTTTTTGGGCATTCTGGATAGGGAAATTGTAATTCAACTGGCAGTTTACTACTGTTAGAGTGTCTACAGATTTACATTAAAGTGGAGTTCCAGCTGAAAAAAAAAAAAAAGTTAGCAGCTACAAAAACTGTAGCTGCCAACTTTTAAAATACAGCCACTTACCTGTCCCTCGGTTTAGCGGTGTCTTCAACACCGCTGGTTTCACTGGCCGTCTTCTCTCCCTGGTGCCAGTATCTTCAGTGTGGGCACCCGGCTGTGACAGCTTGCGGCTTCACAGCCGGGTGCCCACTACGCATGCGTGAGAAGCGCTGTGCTTTGTGAATGGCCCCGTAGTCTTTTGGGACCTGTCACGAGTCCCAGAAGACTACGGGGAGGGAGGACAACTCCTAGGCGATTGCAGTGGAAGTGGGTACCCACTTCCAAGTGCCAATCCTTAATGGGGAGCGGGGGACAAAGCATTAAAGTGGAAATTCCCCTTTTGGGTGGAACTCCGCTTTAAAGTGGTTCTAAAGACTGAAGGTTTTTTACCTTCATGCATTCTATGCATGAAGGTAAAAACCCTTTTATGCTGCTCCCCCCACAGCCCCCCTAATACCTACCTGAGCTCCCTCAGGTTTCCCTCTACTCATTGGCTGAGATGCAGCAGTGGGAGCCATTAGCTCCCACTACTATCAATCACAGCCAGTGAGAAGAGATGAGGGGGGGAGGGGCCAAGACACAAATCTATGTGTCTTTTGGACGCATAGAACAGGGCTCAGGAGCAAATACGCACCAATGCCCCCAAAACAGGTAGCTTGCTTTTGGGGGCACTGGTCAAGAGGAAGGAGCCAGGAGCACCTGCGAGGGACCTGAGAAGTGAGGGATCAGAGCTGCTCTGTGCAAAACCATTGCACAGAGCAGGTAAGTATAACATGTTTGTTATTAAAAAAACAAACATTTAGTATCACTTTAATCACTTTATTGAAATCTGTATTTGGATCACATATAGGCTACCACAGATCTATACACATGGGACAAATACATTATCTACATTCCTGACTCTTAAGTCAGCTCCCTATTGCCATTGCAGGTTCCCAAGAAATTTAAAACTAGGAAAGTGCTTGAAACAACTAATAGTAAAGAGCATAAAATATCTTATGGATGATACGCTATATATAATTAAACAAAAGGCTGACTTTAGGCTCCCACCAAGGATACCATAGTCACTCAATTCATAGTGCACTTCATTTTGTAGGTACAAAGTATATGGACAATAACTTTTTGAAAAATCATAAAAATTACCTAGAAAACAAAAAAGTGTTTCTAGCTCAAGCTTCTGTAGTCACTAGCAGTGCATGCGTTCCAAACTTAATCAAAAGGGTCTGCAGTAAAATAATTTATGTATTCTTAAAACTGTAACAAAGTGGAGCTTCTACCTTGTAGACCACATAGCATGCAATACTGAATGTCCCTGAGAACTAGGATTTAGAATCACTGCAACTAGTCTCTTCATGTTTTGTCCTATACCATACTCTTTTAGATTAACAGTTCAGCAACCTTGATAATATGTACAATGTTTGAATCCTAGCAAAGCCATTTATCCTTTAGCAGATTTTAGTATGGTACATCTCCAGAACAGTACTGCAACATGTCAAAGCAAGCTTAGGATTCATATTAAATTTTTTCTCAGCATTTATTAAAAACATTTTACCTGAACCAGCTCCCTGTATGCTGACTTAGCAAGGTTAAAGGGCACCAGCAGGTTGGATGCCAAAAAGTACAGCACTTCGAGTCCAGTGAAAATCATGGCAAACTTGTTAATGACGACGATAGTCTCAATAGGAACAAGGCAGAGACGAGCCAGCAGGGGGAGCATGTGCGCCGAGAAAAGCCAGATCTGTTTGGTCTTCATCACACAGGAACAGAGAGTACAGACGACCAACTGGCCTGTAACACAATGTCACAATAACCACGAGTTACACCTCCGGTAACATAAAAACGTGATTAGATGCAATTTGTTACCTGGGAAAAGGGGGTCAATCAGAAAACTTAAGCCAAGAGAGAGTGCCATCGCAACTAGATTCTGAGAGTCACTTTGCTTACTCAAGTTAGAAAATACAAAACATTTAATAGGTTGCTATGGGTCATTTGAGCTATTCTGCTACTACTGAAAGATTTAGGATTAATTAACATAACTATTCTGTTCAAGAATTACTGGAAAAGAAAAAAATCATGCAACATACTGTCATTCATCTCTCCCATCACAGTTTAGAAACCTTTCAATACTAAAGACTATGTAGCTCAGCAACTTCATCATATAAAACATACAGTGCGTTCAGAAAGTATTCAGACCCCCTTTTACGTTTTTCAATTTTGTTATTTTGCAACCTGATACTACAGTTGTTTAAATTCATTTTTTTACCTCATTATTTTACACTCAGTACCCTATAATGACAAAGTGAAAACAGAATTTTAAAAATGTTTGCAAAATTATTAAAAATAAAAAACTGAAATATCATATTGGACTAAGTGTTCAGACCCTTTGCAACAACTCTTGAAATTTTTCCTCAGGTGCCTCACATTTCTCTTGATCATTGCTAAGATTTTTCTACACATTATGTGGAGTCTACCTGTGGTAAATAAATTGAGTGGACATAATTTGGAAAGGCACACACCTCTCTATAGAATGCCTCACAGCTGACAATGCATATTGTATCAGATCAAAAGTCATGAGGTCAAAGGAACTGCCTGCAGAGCTCAGAGACAGGATTTGTGCAAGGCTACAAAGAAACTTCTATAGGTTCCCTCATTGGCCTCCATAATTCTCAAATGGAAGTAGTCTGGCACAACCAGGACTCTTCCAAGAGAGCTGGTCAAAATGAGCAAATCGGGGGAGAAGGGCCTTAGTAAGAGAGGTGACCAAGAACCCGATGGTCACTCTGAGCTCCAAAGATCCTGTATGGAGATGAGACAAAGTTCCAGAAGGACAAATCAATGCAGACCTCCACCGATCTGGGCTTTATGGCACAGTGGCTAAAAGAGAAGACTCTCCTCAGTGCAAAATACATGAAACCCCATTTAAAGTTTGCAAAAGATTTAAGAGTGTAGATTAATGAGAAAGAAAAAAATTCATTTAGTAATGTAGTATCAGGCTGCTACATAGCAATTGAAAAAAGTTAAGGAAGTCTGAAAACTTTCTGATTGCACTGTATATGCTTTTAAGACTCAAAGGAATTAGATAATTGTTGCCTATTCTTAGGAAAAGTTAAAAGATTGGAGAATTCTGGAACCCCTCAACAAGTTCAGCCAATTGACCAAGACAGCATTAGACTACTGATCAGCGCAGGTTAAAATATTGTTCATCTAAAAAGTGTACATCCAGCCAAAATTAGATTTTTTAAAGTTTTGGATAGAATGTGAAATGAGTAGAAACCTTGTCAGGTTTTAACTGCTATTCGGGGCAGTCTCAGATTGATTTCCATTCACATCACAACTGTGACACGCACAGTAATAAAAAGCGGATTTCTAGCCTTTCCTTATCGTATTTAAAAAGGAAAAAAAAAACCCATGTGCACAAAATAAAACAGGAGTTTTGACTTCCTTCAATATTCTGTATCTGAAGTACAGTATAAGACAGAAGGTCGGACAATGCGTTATATGCTAACTTCAGGTGATTGTGCCCTGACAGGTTTTGCTGGGAATGCCTCCAGTGCACGCTCATATAACCCCAACCAGTGAGTGGAACTTCAGTTTGTCTAGTGTTCTTAGGTGATTGACCAATCCTCAAATGGAAATGGAAAGACTTTCCAAGTTATTCTTTTTTTTTTAATCTTTCTTCACTATTTCATCTGACACTTCTACCAGGATCCAACAGCTTACTGCATGCGGGATTACTATCAGTTTCTGGATCGGTTACCCTCTATGTACATCTTGGGAACTGCTTTGGGTACTGGATCCTGCATTTGACATGCACCTTGGCACAAGGTGCAACAATTATAGTTAACCACAGGGTGCAATAGAGATCCAGGACTGTGTTCTGTTCTAATGGCACCCAGACACTGAAGACTGCTCAATGTGATGGGTGAAGTTTGGTTTTCTCCAGTAACCTGTATTATCGATATGGTAGGAACAAAACGAGAATTTTAATTTCCCATTATATTCCATATCTTGGAGTACAGTACAGGACAGAAAGTAAAAGACCAAGGGTTACATTCTGTTACCTTCATGTGATTATACACAGACAAAGGCTCTGCTGGGAACACCCCCAGTGTACCCGGATATAATCCCACCCACTTTGTGGGACTCCATTTTCCTAGCAAGCAATAAAAAGAAACAGGACAGACGAGAGGGACCTGTGTCCTGTACTGTACTCGAAGATATGGAATTTACTAGTTAAGTCAAAATTTCCATTATCATAATTGTACAGTACAGTACAGGCCAGGAAGTCGTAGACCAGGGGACATCTCCAAGAAATAAATTGAAGGTTGGCAAACAAAGCTACAAAAAACAAAGGGTCAATGGACTTGAAAAAACAGATGACAGCTTGAAACACCTTGCGTCCAAAGCTCGCATCAGCTGCGGCCTAAAGGTCTACCTGGTAAAGCTTTGGGAAAGTTTTAACAGAAGACCAGGTGGCGGCAAACCTGCAAAATGGATGCTTAATGCTGAAAGGCCCTAGAAAAACCAAATGATTTGGTGGCTTAAGCCCAGATAAAGGAAGGGACCTGTTCTATGGAGCTTAAGCCCTGGAGATGAGCTGCCTGAAATGACCTAGCAATAGTGGAAGAGGAAGGAGGATGTCACTATGGGGAACTTCATGGAGGATAATAAAAGGAACTCTGAAGGAAGGGTTTTTCCAAACGAAGAGGTTGCAGCCAGGTAGACCATAACTGACTCACCACATCCAGCCATGGAGGGAAATCTTCTCAAGACATAGGGAAGGGAGGATAACAGCCTCACTGAGGTGAAAGGAAAAGAATAGCTTGGGGAAGAGGAAGAAGTGCCTGAGTCAAGGGCTACCTTGTTTCTATGTAAGGCAAGAAAAGGCCAATTACAAGAAAGAGCTGCCTACTGACATGCCTGATGTAAGGAATAGCCACCAAAAAGGCCAATGGGATATCAGAATCAGTTCAAAGGGAGGTTTTTGAAAAACATTCAAATCCTAGAAAAACACAGAAGGTCTAAGTGGAGAGAATAACACACACAACTCCCTGTATAAAGGTCTTGGCAAGAAGGTACAAATCCAAAGGTTTCTTGAAAAGAATGGATAAAAGGCAGGAATTTGTCACTTTAGAGTACTAAAAGATCCAGATGCTGGTCCAGACAAGACTGGATGAAGTTCAGCACACAAGGAATAAAAACATTCCTAGGGGGGCTTGCCCTTGCACCAGCCAAAGCAGGCCCCCCATGTACAATGGCATTTCCCAAGAAGTAGATTTTCTCACCTTGACCAAGGTCAGCAATGCCCCTTTTAGAACCTGGGTTTCAACAAATATACAGTTTAAGCAAGTGAATGAGATGCAGGGTGGCGCAATGTGACAGGAGGTCTTGAAGAGTTGAATAGGGCTTGCTTCTCTCAGGGATGCACGATTTCTGGTACCCCCTTTGGTGATTTATGTAGGCCACAACTTGTCTGACTGTACCTTGACTCGGTGACTGTGTAGGAGGAGCGGTCCACTGTAGTAGTCAGTTTATGGCTTTCAGTTCCAGAATGTTGATAGGGAGCATCGACTCCTGAAGAGACAAGGTTCCCTCTACAAGAAGCAAGTTGAGGGATGCCTGATTGACCCGAGGGTCTGAAAGTTGGACCGTAGAGAAACAATCTTCCCTAGGAGAGAAAATTATTGCCTGAACCATGTCCAAGATCAGTCCCAAATATTCCAGGCAATGGGAAGGCTGTAGGGCAGACTTCTTGAAGTTGATCATCCATCCGAACGTTTGAAGAAACTGGATTGTCTTTTGAATTTTGCAAGAAAGGATAGTGGCTGAGGAATCTCTTAGAAGGTCATTATGATACCCATGAGAAGATATGAGCAGGGCCGAAGTTAAGCAGCCACTTTGTGAAGACTTGTGGTGCAGAAAAGTGCCAGAATAGCAGGGTGACAAATATAAAATGTTGATCCCCCAATAATGAGTAGCAAGCGGTGTGTGGGAAAAGATGGGAATGTGAAGATCGGCATAATGGATGTCCACTGATGCCAGAAAGTCCCCTGGTCTGAGAGAAGGGAACACAGATCTTGCGTGTTCCATGCAGAAATTTGGCACACACAGATATCCGTTTAGGAATATTAGGTTTAAAACTGGGTAAATGCTAACACTCATTTGTGACACTCAAATGGGTTTGAGTAAAACCCTTTGAACCATTCCTCTGCAAGATCTGCACTCTATGTGTCCAAAGTGGGGCAAACCACACAGTGCCTGTGTTTGATGTGAAGCTGGCAGGTTGGAGGGTAGGAATTGAGGACGGGCAGAAATAGAAATCCTGTGTTGTAGACTGTGGAAATTATTACAGATTTGACCTTGAGGTCTGAGATGTCTCTGATCAGCACTGGTGCAACAAAAAGTACATTTTCTCCAGTAACTTCCTTTATAACTTGTCAAAGGTTTTTTTCTGAAAGGCATTCACCATTGAAAGGCATGCACAAGAAGACTTCAGAAAGCAGAATCAGCAGACCAAACCTTTAACCACAATATTCTGTGCATAAGTACAGAAAGCAGTTTTATCATGGAGACCTGGAAAAGTACATTCTCTAGGGCATTAACACAAAATAGCACAGAGGACATGAGATGCAACTGTTCCAGAAGAATAGGGTCCTTAGAGACAGGACTATGTTCTCTATTCATTTGCCTAGTCCAGTTAGAATTAATCTGACAAATGGACATAGCCACAATGGTCAGGTGTAAACCAGCACCAGCGAGAGCAAAGGTTTCTTTTAAACCATCTATTG